GGTGAACAGTCCACCAATGTCTGTTGGCAGTTTTAGAATTATTGCCATGCCTTTTCTTTCTAGAATACCTTATTTGGGTAAGGGGATTGGAGTGGGGGCTGGTGAGAGATGGGCAAAAAATATCTAAATTTGTCCATATGAAAATAAGCCCTGTGGGTAAAAACAAAAAAAGAAAAAAAAGAAAAGAAAATAAGCCCTGTGGGTTAGGGGATATGGGGAAGGGGAGATAATCCTTATTCTGAGGGATAAATAAATGAATAAGGCACTTACTGCCTTTAGGTATCTAGGACATAGGTAGAATAATAGTATATAATATGCAAGTATGTTAGAGATAAAAAGACAATACTAAAAAAACAGCATACAACCATCTAACATTTCTTGAAATGAGATTTTCCCAGGATATGTGATATTTCATTTATATCATGCATAATTTAAAATAAAATTTGTTATTAGATTGGGATGATTGAGCAGGAATTGAGGATTCCATCAAGAAGAATAGTATTCTCAAGACAAGGAAATGTGAGCGAGTATGGTGTTTTGGAAATTATAAGTAGTGTGTAATGGCCAAAGGATAGTAAGGGAGAGAGTGGTGCATGGGCTGTTGATAAGACTTACTTTTGCTCAGGAATTGGACTTTGAGTCATTGAAGAATTTAAAGTAAGAGGACAAGCTAGCTTTGCAATTTGAGGTACTAGGGTGAACAAGCTGATGTTGGATGTTGGTCTGCAGTCTTTTTAGCATCTAGCACAGCACCTTCTTAATAAAAATGATAATGTTTGCTACTTTTGAATGTAGGTGAAAAAACAACTAAATGAAAGATCACCCAGTCACTCTTTAGTTTGTGGTTTGCAGCTGTTGTTTGCAGTTCTTGATGTTATCTTTCCCTTTGGTTTAGAATCTGTTCTGAAACTTTGATCCAGGGGAGAAACCCTGTTCCGGGTTGTTGTATACCTAATTCCATTTTATGTTCTACCTAGCCCTATAGTGGCACTATGAGTAAGAATTGACTCAGTGGCAGTGAGTTGAGTGAAGTTAACGATCATTTAATCTTTGGGTGGCACAAATGGTTATAAACTTGGCTGCAAATCAAAAGGTTCAGAAAGGTTGGCAGTTTACCCAGAGGCAGGCACCTTGGCAGAAAGACGCAGAGATCTCCTTCTGAAAAGTAATTCATTGAAAACCCTCTGGAGCACAGTTGAACTCTGATACACATGGGGTCACCAAGAGTTGGATCGACTTGATGGCATCTGGTTTGGGCTTTTTGGTTCAAAGCACTAGTCTATAGTAAGTAGATTCCTATCCCACTGCCATCGAGTCAGTTCTGACTCATAACCACCCTATACAAGGTTTTGAAGGCTATACTTTAAAAAAAAATCATTTTTGGGGGGGTTCGTACAGCTCTTATCACAATCCATCCATCCATTGTGTCAAGCACATTTGTACATATTTTGCTATCATTTTCAAAACATTTTCTTTCTACTTGAGCCCTTGGTATCAGCTCATCCTGCCCCCCTCATGAATCATTGATAATTTATCATTTTTTTCTGTATCTTAAACTGATTGATGTCTCCCTACACCCACTTTTCTGTTGTCTGTCCCCCTGGGAGGTTATATGTAGATCATTGTGATCAGTTCCCCCATTCTCCTCCCACCTTCCTCTTCCCCTCCTGGTATCACTACTCTCATTATTGGTCCTGAGGGGTTTAGCTGTCCTGAATTCCCTGTTTCCAGCTCTTATCTGTACCAGTGCACATGCTTTGGTCTAGCCGCATTTGTAAGGTAGAATTGGGGTCATGATAGTTGATGGGAGGAAGCATTAAAGAACTAGAGGAAAGTTGTATGTTTCATCGGTGCTATACTGCACCCTGTCTGGTTCGTCTCCTCCCCTTGACTCTTCTGTAAGGGGATGTCCAGTTGCCTACAGATGGGTTTTGGGTCTCCACTTTGCACTCCCCCTTATTCACATTGATATGATTTTTGGTTCTTGGTCTTTGATGCCCGATACCTGATCCCATCAACATCTCATCATCACACAGGCTGATGTGCTTTGTCCATGTGGGCTTTGTTGCGTCTCAGTTACATGGCCACTTGTTTATCTTCAACCAAGGCTATACTTCTGTATGAAAGAAGATAGCTTCATCTTTCACCTATGGAGCAGTCATGGATTTGAATCCCTCTAACCTTGTGGAGAGCATCCAATGCTTACCTGACAGCACTACCAGAACTCTTTTTTAGTAAGTCAAGAAGAAGTATCACTTAAGTGTTGTTATCACCGCTTCACAGTGCACTGCGACACAAAGTGGGAATACAAAATAGATCTTAGTCTCAGATGCTTTATAGTGTTGCGAGAAGGTATTTATTATATTCAACTATAAGTTGAGTGGTAGACTGGCATTGTGAATGTAAACATCATGTAGTATAAAGAAACCAAGGAAGACTTCAGAGAGGAGGTTGAAAAATATGTATTTTTAAATTGTGGCCTTGAAAAAGGAGAACTGGGGGCTAGAGGAATAGAGTGGAAGAATATCTTATGCAGATAAAAGACATATGATTGTGAGTTATGAGTATGCATGGCATCCTGTTCACTTGTTTAAAGAAGTGGTTTTTTTGGTCTGTGGTTTTGGGTTCCCCCCACCCTCCCCAATTAGTTTGAAAGACGTATTGTTTAACCTGACTTCTCATACTTTTTAAAAAATATCAAACTTTCTTTACAGCTGACATGTTGTTTAAAACTCTGGGTGACAGTTTTCAGTTGATTAAAGAAAAAGAAGGATGACTTTCAGGATGGAGAGCCCTTATTAAAACACAGATGTCTTCTGTAAATAGAATTGGAAAAATGCTGTCAGTGAGTTCTTTGTATATAAATGTTTCTTTTTACTTATCCATGCAGGATCTGAAAAGGAAAGCCACTTCTTTTTCAGCAATCATGAGGTGCATGACAACAGAATCATTGATGCCCTGGGAAGAAGGCTGGGTTCCAAATCTCCCTAAGTGATCTAGAAAGAGGGCAGAGACAGCCAGTGTTCCCCTCAGTTTTTCTGATCAGGGTTTTGTGGCTCTGAGTGTTTTGCTTTTCCCCCTCTCTGCCCTCCTTTTGACAAGTCATTCTGAAACATTGTGTCTTTGACTTCTAAGATGAACTCTGGTGTCCTATAATCATAAATATGCTAAGTTTCTGGGGCCATTGTCATTTAAATGAGTTTATAGAGGCTTAAGCATGAAATGCATTGTCGTCTTGTCACTTGGTCAACCGAAAGCACCTTTTTGCATAGCAGGTCTATGTAATGCAAGACCTGAACTGAAATTTCTTTTTAAAATAGAAAGAAATCAAGTCATTGGGGGACTTCATTCCTTAATTTTTCACTTGCCTCATTCATAACTTCCCAGTAGGAAGTTATGTCGCTGAGCAATTGAGCTTTTTTTGAGTTGTTAGTTGCTTTGAGTTGATTCCAGATCATGAGGGAAGACCCACTATGTGCAGAGTAGCTGCTCCATACAATTTTTAAAGCTTTCAAAGCCTTTCAAAAAAAGCTAGTAGTCAAGCATATATCCTGAGTCACATCTGGGTGAGTTCAGACTACCAGCCCTTTGACTAGCAGTGGAGCATTTAACTGCACCTCCTTGGGACCTAAGTCTCTTCTCCAGTGCTCTTCATGTTACTACTAATTAAACCATATTTAGAAAGTGAAAATGAACACTTAATATTTTGCAAGTATTGTAGTTTTTATATCTTGCAGATTCTGCACTGAGAAATTTAAAATGTTTTCACACATAAAATAGATTGAGTAGATTAATGGTGGACACTTTTAGAAGTAAATTTTTGTCAGCATGTGAGTATGAATGTGTGTGATATGGCTCAGGTTCTAAAATGTCGATGGGGTTCTTTCTAATGTGCAATGCTTTTTTGTTCCTTAGACATATATTTTTATGGTTCTTAGGTTAAATTTCTAGGTACCCTGATAGTGTTGTGGGTTAATCACATTGTGGGTTAGATTACTAACTGTAGGGTCTGCAGTTCAAACTAACCTGATGCTCTTCAGGAGAAAGAGGAGGTTATCTGCTCCCATAATGACAACCCAACTCAATGTAATAGAGTCAGTGCTGGCTCATAATGACCCCCTGTGGGTTTCTGAGACTGTAACTGTATGTGGGAGGAGAAAGCTCAGTCTTTCTCCCACGGAGCTGCTGGTGGTTTCTAACTGCCAATCATGAGGATCGCAGCACAACTTCTAACCACTAAACTACCAGGGTGCCTTTTGCCATAAAAACTTTGAGCCCCAAAACCCTCACAGGGTCAATATGAATCAGAATTGACTTGATGGCATTGGTTTTGGTTGGGGTTAGGGAGAGATTTTAAGGATATGAGTTTAATGTTTTTATAAAGAGTGTTATATAAGCCTTATGCATGTATACGTGCATATAAATACATCTATATACATATATACATACACATTCACACAAGTAAACCTCGCATACTTAAAAGTCAAAAGAAGGAAGTTTGTCCTTTTGGTGTTCTGAAATTCACTAATGTTTGCCATAAGAATCAGCCTAAAGTTCATGAGGGAGGGGGAAAACGGGAGGAAGGGGGGAAATGAGCAGCCGATATTAAGGGCTCAAGTAGAAGGCAAATGTTTTGAGAATGATGATGGCAACAAATGTACATATGTGCTAGACACAATGGATGTATGTGTGGATTGTGATAAGAATTGTATGAGCCCCCAATAAAATGATTTAAAAAATCAGCTAAAGAACCCCACCCCAATTCCTCCCCTAAAAGTACAGAAAAGATACATGATTTCTTGATGTGCTCATTAACAATGTTTTTGGCTAACTAAATGTGAAATAGGTTTTGAAGTTAGTTGGAGTTTTCAGAAAAATACCCCCCTACCATTGCTCTTCTATCTAAACTGAACTAAAACATCTGGGCATGTTTTCATGTGGGAGACTTTGATATAGCTGCTGCCCTTGAGCCTCTTTTCTTGTTCTATTTTGTTTTCTAGGTACGCCACCGAGTTTCTGGTCAGGTGATGGCACTTAAGATGAACACCTTGAGCAGTAACCGGGCAAACATGCTGAAGGAAGTACAGCTCATGAATAGACTCTCCCATCCCAACATCCTTAGGTAATGGCTTTTTCCTCCTCCCAGGAACCAGGGAGAGAGCTGAAGCACTATTTATAGGAGGCTGGTTAGAATCGTATTACCAGGTAAAAAGAGGGGTGCTATCT